TTTACTCAAGCTTCTTCTTCCTTTTTTATTTTTATTTTTGGCTTGAAGAGGGTTTAAGATCCTGCTTTGAGCTCTACATTCCAAAAGCCATGTGAACATGCAGTGAAATTAAACCAAATCCAGAGATCTTCATTTGGCATCATAGTCATTTGAAACTGAGAAGGGAAGAGGGCAGAGCTAGGAGACAGACAAAGGCAACATGTATCACTGAACCAAATGGCTGTGTTTCTTCTAAGCTGCCAAGGGAAATTGAATTTGTAATTCTAATTACAGGTGATAGGAACAGGACATCCAAACTGCTTAGCTAACATGAAAAATTTCATTCATTGTTTCAGCGATTCTCCAGCAATCAGGCCCTTTGCCTTTTCCAAAGATGTTCCTATAACTCCTCCAGGCACAATTAACTTTTAAATTATTGGATGAAAGGTTTTTTAGTTCTTCTTTCCTAGTTCTTTTTGGCACAAAGAGCAATCACCTAGGATACTGAAATGCGGTCAGAAAGCATGTATCCAGTGTTTTCCCTCATGTTGTGTTATGGCAAAACTACAGATTAGCTGCAGCACACTGTGATTTCTAAGATATCGGTGCTGCGCTTGTTCTTTTATTTGAGAAGACCAGAGTTACAGTTCAGGGAGAAGGGACAGCTTGACCATGTGCTCCTTTCCCTGCTACTCCATGTTAAGCTACATTGTGGGCTGAGACGATGGGAATGAACATAGCAGTCATCATGCTAGTCCCAGGTAAACTAGCATGATTCAGGGGCAAAAGATTATTAGCAAATAGGCCAGAATAGGCTTCCCCTTCCTCACTTCTTGCTGGCTGTTTTACTCCTGGGGATGGAGGTGGAACAGGCTGCAGCTTATTTATGTGAATGTTGCCCTCTTTGAAGAAAAATGAGTAAGGATTGTCCATTTTATTACTGGCTACTGGACCCTTTTTTCACAGAATACAGTAGCAGATGAGGCAAAGTAACTATATGACTGCAGTTTCTTGTCTGTCTTTGCTCAAGCTGCTGTTGTCCTTAGGCAGCCAGAAGCCTCTTGCTTTACTGCATTTTCAGCTAATGCTTTGTCTTTTTATGGATTAAGTGTGGGCTTCAGGCATTCACACACCCTGGAAGTTTTTTGGGAAAATTCCAATATCTAAAACAGACATCTAGGCATGGTGTAGGAAAGTCTATTTCCATGTATCTTTGATGTGATTCAGTCACAACATGGCCTACATTCCAAAGTTCCTCCACAACAGTTTTTTATTCTATCACAAGGTTTAGATAAGACTTTCCATTAAATATTAATGCTGAGTTCTTACTGTGTCTTATATGCCTCAACTACAGTTTGTACTATTGAAGGTGTAGCGTGGCTTGCTTTCTTAATTTTCTTTGTGTTGGCATAATTGTTATCACCATAGGTGATGCAATACCACGATGCAAGAAATAAGGAAAAAAAGATAGTTGCTATTCACATAAATAAAGGAATCCTTGAATGGCAGTGACAATGATGTCAACTTAATTAAATAAAAAGTTTAGTTAAAAAAATACCTAGTGACATTAGCTTGTATCATCAACAGTTCTCTAGGGGTTCAGAGTGTCCTGGCTGATTTCAATTGTATCTGGAGCTGTTGACTCTGTTGGCACTGGGAGCATGTGTGAATGGTGAGGAAGGGGGAACAGAGAGTAAAAGCAGTCTCCCAGTCTGAATCTAACTGAGCTGATGTGGATGAAGCCTATTTGAAAAGAATGCTGCCAAGTTAATTATAAAGGAAGAAGGGGAAAAAAAGAAAAGAGAACCAACTCAAAACCTAACAATAGGGCTGAGGTGGGGCGCTGCTTAGTCTTAATCCATCCTTATATCATTGCAAACTCTTTTAATACATTGCTGCAGTGTCGTCTTTAACTTACTCATGGAAAATCTGAGCACTTGTACCTCCTCCATCTGTTATGAAAGAGGATTACTGGTCTGTGGAAGTGAACTTCAAAACATATTTGTGGGAGGCTCAGCACTGCTCTTACAGGAATTATTGACAAGGATACTGTGGTACCTGCTTTCTCAAGTTGCTCTGTTGTTTTTGACATTTTCAGTTTTCTCCTTTTCTGCAGAACTATTGCTGCTCCTCAGAGTCTTGTTGCACTGACTGACAAGTAAGTTCAGGCTTGGCCTTGTGCCAGTGTCAGGTGCAGCCAGTATACAAGTCAGAGGTAGGGGAAAAACCTTTATTCCCTCTTTTAGTGGCAGGTATGCACTGTCCACCTGTTTCTGAATATATGGGGAGCCATGGGGGTCAGATGCCTTCTCACAGCCCAGTCCTTTTTCTCCCCTGCAGTAAGATAAACTGTGGCATGTCCTTGATCTCTAGCAGAGAAGTGACTCCTTCAAAAGGCTGAGTAGGTATTCAGCCACTCTGTTCTTAAAAGAACTGCCAAAAATGTGCTTACCTAGGTCTGATCCTGACACTGTATTCCTTATTCACCCAAACCAGCCACAGTGAGCGTGTGTCCCATGAATACATATAAGAAGACTATGTGGAGCAAGATAAAAACTTGTCTCTGAGTCTTGCTGTACTCACTTCTGTTAAGAGATGCCATATGCCTTGCCAAGTCCGCAGTGAAATAAGTAGGCTGCAAAAAGTAGAACATTGCTAGAGGCAGGGAGCAAACACTGATTCTTAAAAACTGAATACTGACTGAACTCAAGGCGATACACACAACGCTGACAGCTCTGCAAGGTGGTGCTCAGCAAGAGCAAGCGGTGATTTTCATCACCAGCACACATTTCACATAGGTAACTAAGCACGTTACTGCTCAGAAATCCTTGCAGTGCACTAACAATGCAATCACTTTTTAGAGTCATTCTAAGGGAACAGGGGAATTCAGCAATTCATAATTAATCCTAAAAACACATTTTTTTTTGGGTTTTTTTTTTAATTTTTTTTTTTTTTTTTTTTTTTTTTTTAGTGTGTCATTTGATATGAAGCAATCAGCTGCAACTGTCTAGAATTTAGGACAATTTTTCCTTCTAACATTGATTTTAACATTTAACATGAAGTGACTGCAGGGGTGATAGATTACTAGTTGAAAAAAATGACAATTACAAGGGAAAGGCACATGCAAATGTCTTCAATGGGCAGTTCAGAAACACTTTGTTTTATCCCCATTTGTTTCTTTAACTGCCCACATTAAGGTACAGTAGAGTTTTGGACTTCAGTGCGGTGGTTATTTTATCAGCAAAAATAATTTCCCTGGTGTTAGAATTTAGTCAGGGTTTATTCCATTTTATTAGTGTTCTACAAACTGTCATAGAACAAAGAGGATTAGTCTCAAGCATCTCCATAAATCTCCAACTATCTAGTTCAGAGCATAAAAAAAAAAGGAAGCAAGAAAACCCAACTCTAAACTTAAAATGAACTGAAGTGAAGAAAATTCTAACCACCCTTGCATCCTTCTCAGTTTGGAGACCTAAAATGGAGCAACGATGCAACCAAAGATCAACCACTAAGAAAAGAGATTCTCAAAACTGCCTAGCCTTGAGTCTTAAAGGTATGTTAGGGGTACACCTGGGGAATGCAGCTGGATTTTACAACTTTTGGCACATTTCCCTTGATAGGAATGGGAGATTTTTATCCTGCTTAGAAAAACTCTGTTAAAGAATGTGGATACTAATTTTAGAAGCACCTGCATGCCATTATAGTTCAGCCTGACTTTGGTTTCAAAGTGCTGAAATCTAATTTTAAGATTGGACACAGGCTGTTAAACCACATTATTCTGAATGTTCTGTCTTATAATATTTTCATATTCATTTTGGCTAAACACGTATATAGTCACTGTTATCCTTAATCCAGGTTATGCCAATTATTCATAAATTGTATTTGTTTTCAACCACTTAGCAAAAAACCTATGGCTCATAATTGCTGGAAAATTGAGAGGTGGCTGAACAACTCTGTATCTTCCCATTGCTGAGAATTTCAAAATAAGAACAGTGGTATCAATGATAAATAACAAAATTTCAGTTCTGAGCCTTCTGAGGATTTATTTAGAGGCATAAAACAAAAAAAGGGTACTTGTACTGAACTAACGTTCCACTTCTGTCTTCTCTCCATTAAAAAAGCTTCCTAAAACCTGGAAAAACTTGCCCCTCTTGCTCTAAGATACTGCCCCTGAAAGAAACATAACCACATAGTTATTAAAATGGCATCAAGAATAACTAAGTAATCTGTTCTTGGAAATTAGCTTTTTGCGTTATCTACAAATATACAAGATGAGAATGACAGTGGCTAGAGGTTCATTATATCTGGCAGTACGTTAGCCTTTCTGAGGCTACCATGTTTTAAACATTATTTTAGTATTATAATCCCCATATTATGCATGGACAACCGTAGTTTACCTGGCATTGGAGAAGAGTTCATTCCTAGTAGCAGAGCATTTGTATGTTTTAATTCACTTGTATAAATAGTAAGATGAACATATTTCCCAAGCAGTATGCAGAATGTATTCCGTTCTTTCTTTTTGCCCAGTACACATTAACATTTTAACAGTAGCTTTGAAATTAAGATCAGGGCTAACAAAAGCAGCTCTCTCTCTTCAAGGTAGAACTCAACTCCTCTATGCCAGCAATGTCTCGTGGGTTGCCTTCCCTGGGTGAGTTCCAGGGCTATGTTACAGTAAACTGGTCCAGTGTGATATCACAGATATAAAAAATATTCCATTCTGTATCAAAACTAGGCACAAGCCTTATATTTATATGAAGAGAAGATCAACAGAGCTGAGCATTTTTGCTCTCAACTATTAATCTCTGGCCTTCTACATGAGGAGAAAAATATGTTATTTCTAATTGGTAACTACAAGAGTCTAATTTGGGTTAGATGGTAGTTAAAAGGAGGGTGACATCACACTTGGGTCAGTATTGGTGGATATCTAAAAGCACAACCTCTCATTTGTATTGCTTTAAAATGTACACAGTATAGATGCAGATTAAAAAAAAAAAACCTACCAATTTTTTGTGGTGTGGAACCAACTAGAAGGGATGATGCAAGGTTTTACCAAATGAGATCTATAGATACAAATTTCACTGTAGAGTATGTTTTAGACAAATGTGCCTTTTTCTTTTAAGTATGTAAATCCTACACTGTAGGCTTTTTTTTCTTTTTCTTTTTCTTTTTGTAGTGGTAGAAAATGTTGAACAATTGTCCATGAGCATGAGCCAGCGGTTCATTGCTGATATCCCCAGAATGCCAATATTTGCAATGCAAACAGTTATTACAATTTACCAGTTCTATGAAAGGCCCTGACATATCTGCCTCAAGGTCTGGAGGCTCTGCTGTATAACCACAAATAGTCTTTCCATTTTCATGTAACCTTTTGATACAGTGACAGCTGCATTAAGCTGCTTCTGCCTAGCAATTCCACATGCCAGGCTGGTTTAATTGGTTTTAATGCCACAGAAAAAGCACTGCTAGCAGAATATCATCAAATCATTTTCATATTGAACCTTCGTGGTCCAGCAACCTCCCCTTCAACCACAGCACCATTGTTTTTGCGAGGGACATATTCAAGGTCAATGCTGGTTTTGTGTTTGCCTTTCCCTCGGCTCCACACAAAAAGAAGGAGGAAACAAAATAAAACCACTCCAAGGAATGTGAAACAGCCCATAGCTGTGGACACCAATATTGTCTTAAGGTCCAGAGAGAAGGTGTTCACATTAGTTCCATTGGAACTTGTGTCGTTGGAGTCTGTCATATACATAGGGGTCCTGTTGGCATAAAGGAAACGGTCTGAAGTAAAACCCTTTACCGTAAGAGAGGCCGAATAAGTGTCGTTCCCAGCTGCGTTACTTGCAATACAAACATAGATCCCAGTGTCCTGGTCTTGAGCAAATCGGATCTCCAGGGTGCCATCGCCCAACACAGTGGCTCTTCCATTTGATTTAGTTGTGATCAGCCTCCGACGTGGGGTAACCCAGGATATGGTAGGCTGCGGATCCCCATCAGCATTGCACATCAACTGCACTGTCTGCCCTTCCTCCACTACCAGGTATTGCAACTTCTTGTCTTGTATCTTGGGCTTCTTACAGGTGAAGTAAAAGGAAAGAGCTGTACTATGAAAGTCTTTGAATGACCTCTCTTTGACACTGTCTGGGCCAGCACACATTGGTGGCTGGCCTCCAAACTGCAAAGTAGGTTGCCTCTGTAAAATCCAAAGGAGACGGCAGTCACAGGCCAGAGGATTGTTGTTAATGCAGAGGACCTCAAGGCTTTTGGGGGAATGGAATACATTCTCTTCTAGGGTTTCTAGCAGGTTTTGAGACACATTAAGCACACGTAAGAATCGGAGCCCTTGGAAAGCATGTGATTCAATGGTATGTAGCTGGGCCCCCACCATGTGGAGTTCCTGCAGGCGCACTAAATCTGAAAGCATGCCTGCTTCAATGGTGCTGATAGGGTTGTAAGAGAGGTTTAGATGTGTCAGGTAAACCAGATGTTTAAAAGCAGAGTAAGGTACTGCAGACAGGTTGGTGTTGGTGATGGACAGAGAAGTCAGGTTGAGACCATATAGGCTGTTGGCAGGTAGCATGTCCAGGAGGGGCCAGGCCTCTATCTCTAGGTCTTTCAGGCGAAACAGTCTTTTAAAGGCATAGGCAGGCAAAGCATTAATATTGAGCTGTTTCAGATGCAGACTGATGAGGTTGTGGAGGTGAGAAAGAGCTTCTGTTGGTACAGCTGTGAGGTTGCATCTCTCCAGGGTGAGCTGCTCCAGGCTAAGCAGTCCGCTAAAGGCCCTGTGTGATATATAAACCAAATCATTGTCCCCAACCTCCAGGGATTTTAGGTTATGCAGATCTTGGAACATATAGTCCAGCAAAATGACAATCTTGTTTTCACTTATATCGAGCTTTGTTAAGTTTGACAACCCAGTGAACACCCCAAGGGGGACCAGCTTCAGACGGTTTCCTTTCAGTCTCAGGGAGCGCAAGTTGAAGAGATTGTTGAAGGCTCCAGGCTCCACATTGGCAACTATATTGTCACTGAGGTCGATCTCCTCCAGCAAAGGGTATGACGTGAATTCCTCAGGGTTGACGCTTTTCAGTCGGTTTTTGCTGAGGTCCAAGATTTTGGTCTCAATGGGAATGCCCTCTGGGATGGACATCAGACGCCTTCGGTGACAGCTGACGGACTTGTTCTGTGCCGAGCATTCACAGCGGGCTGGGCAGCCTATGGTGGGGCCCATGAAGACTAGCAGCACAGCCAGACCCAGGAATGGCTGCCAGCATGATACAGCTGTGTGACACATGACTCCACTGATCTGGTCTAACCCTCCGTCACGGGCCTGTGGGGATGAGGATTGGAGAGGGGAGAAGTTAGGTCTGCAGCAAAAGGACATTTCTGCCAAATTTACAGTACCATTTCAAAGCAGGCACGTGTTTTCATTTGAAACGAAACAATAAAACCTACTGTGAATGGCAAGAGCGACAAAAAAGCAGATTTTACTTCACTGTCACTGAGCTTGTCAAAGGGTCTGTTATCCAGCATTTCCCCTCCAGATGTCAGAGGAGACAAAACAGCTTTTTCTACTGCGCACAGTAAAGGAGGTTAGGTTTTATTCTCTTCTCACTCTCAGCGGGTCTCCACAAGACAATGCTATAACTAACGCAGAGATAAACACCATACACTCTGCAAATAGGGCTAATCATGTCTGTGATATATTTACAGCACTGGACCTCTGTGAGGTGATATGAAACTAGACTTTTTGCCTGTCCTACTCATGTCAATATTTTAAAGTTAATGTTAATGATGTATTATTTTCAAGAAAAGGAGTGCCTTGAAAATGAAAAGATTCCTTTTAACATTTATTGCATACATTACAGCTATAAATAGAGCTTGTTTGGACACACACAACGGCTCAGATGAGGAAGGAAGAACTGATGCATCTCTGATTAGAATTTGTATTAAAGACAAATTGATTCTTTGCTTTTACTGCACAGAGAGATTTTATGTTATTTTTAGAAGCAAAGACCTGAGAAGGGTTTACAAAATACATCTTTGTACTTTCAAGACACGTAAACGAGCTCTGAGGGAGGGAAAAACAAGATAAGAGGAGCTGGCTGCATTTAAGCAGCACAATGTCCAAGGAAGCACAACAGATTCCATGGAAATCACAGTAAGAGATTTATTCATTCCTGCCTTCAGGTTAAAACCGAGGATAGTAGAAGACAAGATAACCTCTATTAAATTAACCGTCCTTCTCCAAAGGCTGTACTTTATAGATTTACTCACCAAAGGCAAGAGACTTTTTCAACTGTAGCTACTAAATTAACACACTCAATAACTCATTTCAAAAGGAAAAAAAAAAAGAATAATATAGGTGATCATCAAAAGGAGATGGGTCTGAGACACTTGCAGAGTAAGGCACACTGCAAGCAAGGACTCTGGAAGTGCCTTAACTCCTGTGGTACAGCCAACTTGATAAGGCCAAGTGGTAGTACAGGGAGTCGCATTTCATAACATTAGTAAACCTTATAAGGTGCCTCAGGCCTTGTGAGGCCTTTTCTGGATTGGTTAATTTGGGCTTCATTTTAGTCATATTTGTAAAATTATTTACATAAATCCTGCCTGTAACTTCCTCTCAGGTCTGGAGAGATGACTATTGCCCAGATGGTCCTACCCATAATGACAAAATTACCCAATGGCCAGGCATTCACTACCTGACCTGCGTCTTTGAGCTTTGAGAATCATCTGGCTAGTGCTTAAGAAATTTTCAGCTTAAATTTGAGTCAAGTTTTGTTCGTCTGTGCGCAGTCATGTGCAATGTATTGTAAAAGAAATCCTCCCAAACACAAAGAAGGATTCATAGATTTAAACAAATATGGTATAACTAAATTTATGATGCAATCAGACAGTTATTTTAGCAAATTAGCTATTTGAAGCACATAAAAATAATATGAGCTTCAGAATGATGAAGAAGAAACTCCCACCAGTAACTCTGCTGCAACACCACTCTACTCCCCTGGCAAACAATTTGGGATGTGATAACTCACCAAATCATCCTGCCTGAGAGAGAAGGATTGCCCTCTCAGACTGTGGATGATCAGAAGGGTGGGGATTCAACATGCAAGAAAAAGAGCAGATACTTGGATCTACTGATCTTATTGTATCATTAACAATTCTCAACAGAAACTGGGTGGTTTGGATTGTAAACATTAGCATTATTTTACCTGGATGAAATAACAAACAGCTGTTGTGTTTTGACTGTTAAAAACTTAATTGGTTGAACAATAAGTTCTCTTGGAGCTCTATATAAATTGTGTTCTTTGACTGACCATAAATGAATGGTGCACATATTACTTCTCTCATAACTCTGTGGAAGAATCTCACTCCTGACTGGTGTGGCTTCTTCTTTCCACTCTGACACTTCTATGCAGAGACTAATAACACCAGGCAAATTGCATGCTGGTTTTGTGATGTAGTCAGGGGACCTGGATGAAGACTATTCTTTACTATACTACCTATAAAAACACATTTCAACTTTGTCCTAGAAGGATAACCTGCTGAGATTCATTTAGTTTCCCCCTTAAGTTGCAGTCTTGCAAGTAAGTATCGCTAGTTATGTCCAGCTGTGACAAAGGTTTTCAGAGATAAACTTCACTTCATTAAGCACTAAGTTAACACTGGAAATCTATAGGGGTCTGTGAATTAGGTGTTTGCAATGAATTCAGACCAAAAGGGCTTTCGGGTGCTCTGATCATTACTTTCAGAGCTCAGTCTCTGAGGTTAGTGCTTTCATACTGATGCTTCTAGCATGCAGGGAATTCATTTCCTACCTTATTCACCTAATGTATGAAGCACAAAGTAAACAGGTTCAGTGGAAGACAAGCACCCCTGGAGTGTTCATTTTAGATAGCAAAAATATTAAATGCTTTTTGCAACTATCCAAGCCAGCTGGTAACTACAATTTCTGAGGAGTATAAAGGAGAAGATGGACAGTATAAAAGATGATGAAAGGATTTTTTGACTGTGGCTGGAATAAAGAAAAGTAGTGTTAATAAAACACTTCAAACATTAACAGTTGCCTTCTGCAAGAGCATGTGCACACAAATGAAGATGGATATGCATTTATCTATAAGGGTGCATGCATATATGTGCATGCACTTGCAGGCAAGCAAGATTCAGAACTCAGATTTAAGCTGGAGTAAATTACACATCAATGAGGAAAAATAACAAATTATATTAAATCACAAGTCAGAAAAACCAAATATTACTTGGATCAATGAGAACAGGTTAGAAGAAAACATAAATTAAATGTATTATTTCAATTTACACTGACCCAGATGATAGTACCATGCTTCCTGCTAACCACGTCTTTGACTACACCCTTAGCCTTGAACTGCTTTGTGCAAAAAGGACTTTATCTTCTTTATGCAAAAAAATGTAACCTGTGAGATGTTAATTAATTGGCAACCTCACTGGCACTGTGCTGAACTATCAGTGTCACTGTTCAATGTGACATCTTTCATTCCTGCTTAAGCAACCAGCACTACATACTTTATCCCTTGCCAGTATAGGAATTCCCTCTAAACACCTGCAGTATTACCTCGTTATCCTTCTTTGCATCTCTCTGTACAACTTTTCTTCACTGTGATACATACAAGAAAGTAAAGTGCATGTATTGAAGTATACATATATACATACATGTAAGCTAAAAGTATCATCTTTTTGCTATGTGATCTTATTATGTGTTGCACTGAAGAGTACTTCTCTAACATTATAGCTTGTTAGCACAACAATTCTAATAAAATAATAATTATGAACCAGCAGTTTTTATGTGCTTGACTGCGAATGAGAACATGTACAATTGTTTTCGTGACCTTTCTGGGGTATTTATCACAGTTTGATACACTCTGGAAATGAAATATATCAAGGAATTCCTTATTAAAAAAAAATTAACTAACTACCTCCTTTTTGTCTTTCTCTGGCTCTGTTTCTTATGTCCAAAGTCAAGAGTCAAGTTACTGTTGGCTGGTACTCTTTTTCAGTACAGGACCTGTCAAAGTTCAGCTATGCAATTAAGAAAGATCATTAAAGTTATTAGCTAATACTTCTGTGTGATCTCACCCAAACCAGCCATCTCTACTGCTTTGAAATGCAAATCATTTTGCACACAAAGTTCTGCAGCTTTGAATCTACCCACAAATGCTTAACAAGAATGTGTATGTACCCCGTAGCTTTTAAATTGAAGAAATATAATAATAAATAAAAAGCAACCTGATGCTCCCTCAGACTGCTCTGCAATTCTGAATATCATAGACAGGAATGTGTCAAGCCATGCAAATGTGCTATGTTTCGTATCATTTCTCCCTCTCCCTTGGACAAATTTTGAAGCCTTTATAGCTAAAAACTAGAGTGCATTTGACCAGGCTCCTTCCCTTGTCCAATCTGATGCTCCAGTACTGTGTGGGACCAGACTTTAACCAGAAAAAGTGAGAGTCAAAAGATCTGTTTCTGTCAGTAGCTGCATGTTGGATGCTCCGACTTGGTAGTTGTGATCTCACCTTTTCCTCCCCTTCTCCCAGGCTTTCAGACAATTAAAAAATCCAGTGGATCATATCAGAGGTGACAATTTTGCCTGATGTTGAGGTCACTTAATATGTTCTTTTCTAAGATTTCCTTTTCAAAAAGATAACTGTATTAAATAAACATTCTAGGATGAAAAGTTGCATGACAGGTATCTGACTCATACTGATAATTCACCTAAATGCTACCAGCTATTCCTGAGAAACAGGTGAAGTCTCTATTTTACAGGTGTATGGTGGGTTGACCCTGGCTCAACACCAGGTGCCCACCAAAGCTGCTCTATCACTCCACCTCCTCAGCAGGAAAGGGGAGAGAAAAATATAATGAAAGACTCATGGGTTAAGGACAGGGAGACATCACTCAGCAATTACCATCATGGGTAAATTAGACTTGGGGAAATTAATTTAATTTATTGCCAATCAAATCAGAGTAGGATGAGAAAATAAAAGCTAAATCTTAAAACACATTCCCCCCACCCCTCCCTTCTTCCCAGGTACAACTCCACACCCAATTTCTCTACCTGCTTTCCACCCTGAGCAGTGCAGGGGGACGGGGAATGGGGGTTGGGGTCAGTTCATCACACGTTGTCTCTGCCGCTCCTTCCTCCTCAGGGGCAGGACTCATCACTCGTCCCCTGCTCCAGCATGGGGTGCCTCCCACGTGAGACAGTCCTTCATAAACTGCTCCAGCGTGGGTCCTTTCCACAGCATGCAGTCCTTCAGG